TATAATATAATGTGTGTTTGTGGTATTTTAAGAACTTCCGTCTAATTTGAACAGATAAATAATCAATTGAACTCGAATAATAAGTTTTAATATGTTGTTTTATTCGATAAATTTAAAATTAATTATGCTTGAAATTAAACTAAACGCACGGTAATATACTCCCCCATAGTAATTGACTCCGCTATCCTAAACGTACGAAGTGCGATTTTCCTTAGCGCATTTGATAAATCGAGGATGAAACCGATACAAGAGTTAAATTCTGTTAAGTAGTTTATATCGCAGTGATTCAGATCGTTCCAGCGTGATTTAACAGAATTAAAATCGATCGAGACCATGCGAATTGTGTGCTTCCTTTCGAAGAGCATTAAGCGCCAAGGACGAGTACATAAACCGCAGTCTGGTTACAATAATTAAACCGGGAGATTCGTGTTTTTCATGCTGTATCCCCGGGCTAGTTTACCTGACATTATATAATATTGAATGAATATTCATGCGTGTAAATGATATAGGTTATGCCGATCTAGAGATATAGACATTCATACTTGCCTCATGAATAATGTTAATGAACGATAACGGCCGATCACAAGCGTGCACTCGAGTTTTTAATTTCGTGTGCAACCAGTCTGCTGCCGCGGTGTCGTTAGCCTCACAAACGAACGATAATCCGTATAAATTTATTCCGAGTACAAATTTTAATGGCATTCGAGATTTCTTGTTTCGTCTGTAAATAAAATTTCTTCGACACGCAACGATTAATAAGCGGCTACATTCGACGATTCTTCGCATCACGATGTTTTATTATAATAGCTGCGTAAACGCTGGATTGCGTAAAGTACAATTAGGCTGCGGATTTGACGAATGTCGAGTATGTTCGATCGTTCACTTCGGCAAAGACAACGGTTCAAAAATGTATTTCAAACTGTGCCTGAAAGTCAATTTACAAATCTTTCGAAAAATCGACTAGCGTTTATTCCGCGGCGCAATTTAATGCGATCGGGCTGCTTTTTGCTCAGAAATTTAACGGAAAGGCCACGAAACAAGAAACTTGGGAATCGACAACTGAAAAGTGCTTCGACGCGGAATTATTCTCAACGCAAGTATCGTCGGACACTTTGACCGTTTGAGTCCCAGAGGGTATTGAAAAAACACTGTCGAAGAATCGCAAACAACGCAACCGCGCTTTCTCTAAACGAGTACGAAAAGACCCAAGCAGCGCGATGGCGCTTGTTTTATTTTATGTCGAGAAATACCAAGCGGCGCAATAATAATGAATTAAAAATTTGTATCTTGTAATGTATCATTGCATTATTATAGTATTATTCTACCTATTGTAAAATGTACTATTTACATTAAAAGAAGCCGTACGATGTACTTGCTTCGGTAAATCTGAGCGCGCTTCGACGATCGGTAACGCACCGTCGGCTGNCCTTTCGAAGAGCATTAAGCGCCAAGGACGAGTACATAAACCGCAGTCTGGTTACAATAATTAAACCGGGAGATTCGTGTTTTTCATGCTGTATCCCCGGGCTAGTTTACCTGACATTATATAATATTGAATGAATATTCATGCGTGTAAATGATATAGGTTATGCCGATCTAGAGATATAGACATTCATACTTGCCTCATGAATAATGTTAATGAACGATAACGGCCGATCACAAGCGTGCACTCGAGTTTTTAATTTCGTGTGCAACCAGTCTGCTGCCGCGGTGTCGTTAGCCTCACAAACGAACGATAATCCGTATAAATTTATTCCGAGTACAAATTTTAATGGCATTCGAGATTTCTTGTTTCGTCTGTAAATAAAATTTCTTCGACACGCAACGATTAATAAGCGGCTACATTCGACGATTCTTCGCATCACGATGTTTTATTATAATAGCTGCGTAAACGCTGGATTGCGTAAAGTACAATTAGGCTGCGGATTTGACGAATGTCGAGTATGTTCGATCGTTCACTTCGGCAAAGACAACGGTTCAAAAATGTATTTCAAACTGTGCCTGAAAGTCAATTTACAAATCTTTCGAAAAATCGACTAGCGTTTATTCCGCGGCGCAATTTAATGCGATCGGGCTGCTTTTTGCTCAGAAATTTAACGGAAAGGCCACGAAACAAGAAACTTGGGAATCGACAACTGAAAAGTGCTTCGACGCGGAATTATTCTCAACGCAAGTATCGTCGGACACTTTGACCGTTTGAGTCCCAGAGGGTATTGAAAAAACACTGTCGAAGAATCGCAAACAACGCAACCGCGCTTTCTCTAAACGAGTACGAAAAGACCCAAGCAGCGCGATGGCGCTTGTTTTATTTTATGTCGAGAAATACCAAGCGGCGCAATAATAATGAATTAAAAATTTGTATCTTGTAATGTATCATTGCATTATTATAGTATTATTCTACCTATTGTAAAATGTACTATTTACATTAAAAGAAGCCGTACGATGTACTTGCTTCGGTAAATCTGAGCGCGCTTCGACGATCGGTAACGCACCGTCGGCTGGGTTTTCTCGACATAAAATCTGAACAGCGCGATCGCGCTGCTTGGGACTGAAACGGTTAAGCAGCAGGTATTCTGTAACCGGTGCATCGCGGAATAATGAAAGATCGGCGCAAAAAATCATGCTCTCGTTTAAATCATCGGACTTCCTACAGCGGAGTCGGGTTTCATTAAACGATGCTACTTTCATCGGTACTTTTGCGCGCAGTGTTTAACCATAAGGACGAGCCACAATAAACCATAAACTGCCAGCGAGGCGTCTTAATTGCCAGCAATTAATTTGTCCACGTCGTGCGGGTAGAAAGCGCGCTCTCCTCGCTACAAAATGACGCGCGCAACGCGCGGTGCAGCGCGCGGTGCAGCGCGCGATTATTAGAAGGCGCAAAAGATTCGTGCGTATTCCGCGCCGTTCACCTTCGCCGCGATCGCGGAGGTGGCGAGGGTTAAGAGGTGAAATTAGAGGAAGCCATTCGACTGGGGGTCAAATTAAAAAGCGGATCCCGGCGATTCGTTGCCCGTTTCCGAGCGCAACCATCAAATCCCCGTTGCGACAAGACGCGTCGCGTCGGCGCTTCCTGTTTCGTGTCCTTCCTTCCACTATAAATTAGAAGTACCCGCTTGACAGAAGTTAATTTACATCTCAACTCTCGATCACGGAGCGGCGACAGCCCAAACGATTTCACTTTTGTTCCGAGCGGCATTTACGCTGCATTGTATTGGGTGAGCGCGAAAGTTTTCATGCGTTTTCCTATCAATTGGACCGCCTTCCTACGGATTATGCGCTCGCGAAAACATCCTTCCTTTGTTTTTTTTTTTTTTTTTATAATAGACAGAACTTCGTTCGTTTCTGCTACGCGGGTTAAATTGTACAATTATTTTTCTGATACATCAAGTGCGATGCATGAAGATGGAGAACACGATTATCGGATCGATTACGAAGGAATCCGAGGAATAATTCTCTGTTGCACGATGTAATTATGTAAATTATGAAGGAATAAGAGAAACGTTTACGTTCATAAACTGTGATGCTAGCTCACGGGAATGCTAAATGGCTATAAATTCAGCCCGTTTCCGCAGCTTAGTTAGTAAATACAACCTTGGCTATTCGCGCGTTAATACGTCCAATAAAATTGTATCACTACGTCTCATATGTGTACACTCCATAATAATGTGGCTGTCTTTACAGAGTACAGCTGTGTTTGCATAACAATTCACAGAATTCTGTAATACGAAATGTCTCGACAGAAATTAATGTATAAACTTACGTGACGCTATGAAGCGACAAAATTATTAAATTAAACGTTTGTGATCGTATGTCAGGCTAGAACTAGACACTGACGTTTGCACTGATAGTTACTTAAACCGCTAATCTACATTGTATGCATTAATAATGTTACAATTGTTTTTACACACCGTGTAATTGTGACATTATTAAATAACCTTGCAGTCTGCAACTAGACTGCGGATCTGTATGCATTTGTGACAAAAATGAATATATATCAAATATATAATACATAATATATATAATATCAAATATATATATATATAAATCAAAACTTCAGAAAAATATAGTACGATATTCTCTATATTTGTGACAAAAATGAATATATCAAATATATAATACATAATTTATATAATATCAAATATATATAAATCAAAACTTTAGAAAAATAGTACGATGTTCTCCTCGACCTATTATAATCAATAGCATCGGAAGTAAATCTCTGTGCAACAACTACATCTTACAATTAATGCGATTTTTTATTCTGCAAAAACATCCGCGATCCGGTTCTAACAAAATTTTGAAATAAAAAGGAGAAAGTATTTTCCACCGCAAAAAGTTAACCCTTTGCACTCGAAGCCAATTTAACTGTAAATCTAATATAATTTTTCTGACTTATAGTATATCCTTTTTTGTATAACAAGGTGCACTTTATGAATATAACTTTATGCAAGTTTTGTGACTCATATAACAATTATTACAACTTTAAAATCTAAATCTAAACTTTGATAATATAAAAATTATCTTGGAACGTGATATAACAATTTCAGTGGTGCTCAGAGTCGCCACTCGAGCGCAAAGGGTTAATTTTAAACTGAACAATTTTCAGAAACAGTGTTACAGTTTCTAATTAATCGAATTGCATTTCAACTCTTTGTTTCTGTCGGGACGAACAACAAGGAAACCAGGAGGGCAGAATTTGGTAATAGCGTCGGAGTGCGAAAACACGTAGCTCATGCTCCCTATCGTTTTTCGTTTCACGATGGCCAGGGTACAGGGTTGGGCGAAGTTATTCGATACCCTTTCTCGGGTGAATCGCGGTCATATTTGTGCAACTGTCACGAAAGGACTTTTACGCGAGCCCCATACGGTATTATATCAGATTACCGAAATCTGCTTGGTATACGATTCCGTATAGTCGATTGAGATGCAAACGTGGACGGAGATCGGATCCGTAAAGGATGCGGGAGTAACGAGATCCCTGTTGTCTCCTGTTTCAGGAACGAAAAAGAGAGCCGACGACGTGGTAGCGCCCAGGACCATTCACGACGTACCGGAACACGTTCTCACGTGTGGCCTCACGCTTCCTGGTGAGTACGGAAAAGCATGACCCCAGATCCTCGGTTATACTAACCACAGTCGTGAATTCGTTTCAACACGAACTACTTCAAATCGTACTCTAGAAAATTGCAGAAAATTTACCGAATTTCATCAACCTCCTCCACTACGTCTATTCATTTGAATAATTCTGTTGTGTTAGTGATTTCCGGACTAGTTTCGCCAGTAAACGTCATTTAACCCTTTGCGCAAATCATAATCATACTCTAATCATACTCTAAAAAATTGTAGAGAATTTACCGAATTTCATCAATTTGCTCCACTACGTCTATTCATTTGAATAATTCTGTTGTGTTAGTGATTTCCGGACTAGTTTCGCCAGTAAACGTCATTTAACCCTTTGCGCAAATCATAATCATACTCTAATCATACTCTAAAAAATTGTAGAGAATTTACCGAATTTCATCAATTTGCTCCACTACGTCTATTAATTTGAATAATTCTGTTGTGTTAGTGATTTCCGGACTAGTTTCTCCAGTAAACGTCATTTAACCCTTTGCGCAAATCATAATCATACTCTAATCATACTCTAAAAAATTGTAGAGAATTTACCGAATTTCATCAATTTGCTCCACTACGTCTATTAATTTGAATAATTCTGTTGTGTTAGTGATTTCCGGACTAGTTTCTCCAGTAAAAGTCATTTAACTCTTTGCGCAAATCATAATCACACTCTAATCATACTCTAAAAAATTGTAGAGAATTTACCGAATTTCATCAATTTGCTCCACTACGTCTATTCATTTGAATAATTCTGTTGTGTTAGTGATTTCCGGACTAGTTTCTCCAGTAAAAGTCATTTAACCCTTTGCGAACGAGTGTCGATAAATAGCAACCTAAGTCCGTTCACAGTTGCGGACGCGTATTATAAAGCGGCTCGCGTATGTCTATCTTTCCGAGCGATAAGTATATGTTTTCTTTCGAATGAAAATTAGAGATTTTTAGGAATTCGTATTATTTTAATCTTCCGTTTTATATTTCACGATGCGGGATGATGGTCGAATCAGAACGAATTTCAGTCTTTCAGTGGCATTACCAGACGAATCGCTAACTCTTTTATATATTTTATACTTTATATTTTCTCACATTATAGCGCTATGAGTCTATACAACCAACGTATTATAATATACTATTAGATAGACTATTAGAATATTATTATATATTTTCTAGATCAATCTAGAAAAATATCTATAGCAAAGAAACGCCCAAAGCGTTCCATCGGTACTTGCATAATCGCATTCATAAAATTATCATAACGCTCGCAATTATTTTCGAAACCCATTTAGCAAATCTCAAGGTTATTTATACGAAGCTCCGCGCTGCTAAAGCTTTCAGTTCCCCGAGCTTCCGGCCGGAGGCTGCGTTGCAACGGCTTCGCTGCAGCCGAGACTGCATTAGCGGTTGTTGCAACACGTTTAGCCGGCGCTTATTAAAATTTCCATTAAGCTGGTTCGAGATACACTGTTGCAGCTGTCTCCGCGGAAAGATAACGCGGCGGTGACCGCGGAGGAGTATGCGGAAGCCGTGGCCGGGGCACACCCAGCCACCACGTGGGCCTGTTAAGCTCTCGGTTCACACGCCCCCGCATCCTCGGCCGTCGCATCTATTTACGTGGTTGAGGACGCTTCTCGCCGATACCGCCCCGTGAACGCCACCGAACCATTCTCCTCCTTTGTCCTTCGTCCTTTTCCCCGAGGCTCTCAGCTGGCCGGATCCTAACGCGGATCTGCCTAACTGTATTCCAGCGCGGGTGCTTTGTCAACGATTAACGGGGGAAAGGTGTGTTTGTAAGCGTGTAAGCGGGCGAGCGAGCGCGCGCGCGCGCGTACGCGCGTTTCTGTGATTGTGCTCGCGAGGAAGGTCCTCGGGAAGGATGGGAACAAGGCGGATATGTGGGTCGGTGAAATGGACGCGTGGGAAATACTTTTCGTGCGGATCGTGTTGCACGGGGTGCGCTATTATCTCTGTTAGCATAGTAAATTATCCCAAATTGCCCCTCGGTTTAGACACAAAAACGGACAATTTGGGAAGAGGAGGTACGATTATTCGAGCCTCGCGGCTTGTTTTTGTACTTGTTGACAATCGGCGACTATAAAAACGAGCCGCGTGGCTCGAATATATCGTATTCCTAAGTTGCCAGTTTTGTTTACAAGCTGAGGGTCAATTTGGGGGAATTTACTGTACTCTGCTTCGTACGTGAGGGAGGGTATAGGGCAGGGATGGCCAAATTTTTTATCACTACGGGCGACCTGTCTTTTTAATTTATAGACGGCGGTTTACCAACGTCGTACGTGTTAAGTGATCATAAAAAATGCAGTAATTTAAAACGAGAAATAAGATTAACCCTTAGCGCTCCATTGGCTCCGCTATGGAGACATCCGTCATTTGTTCCGTAAATCCGAAGGCTCTGCTGCGGAGACCAATCTTTTATCATGATTACACCGAAGATGCTATGTTTTTGTCGACGTTGGCAATTGTTACTTGTAGTGAAAACGTGCTTAGCGTGTGTACCATTACGATTAAAACATTTTTTGCCTATTTTTATACTTGGCAACATAAAATGAATAAAATCAAACGCTTTCACAAAGACGTGTAATCTTCTCCGCTCGAAATAAGACTTCCTTTATCTCGGACGCTTTGCTCCAAATATGTGTCGGAGTTGCTGGTAGTGATATTTTTCAGAAAATCGCTGTTCAACTTTATTTTAGAACGTCCGAAGAATATTTACTAATTTTTAATTTAATTCAATTATTAATCGAGCCGATTCCAGCGAAGATTAACGATAAAAAAAATTTCGGCAAACTCACGCAAAAGATATTTTTGTTTCAATAATTCCGTATCCAAACAGAATTCAACGGACGATTCGCGATGCTAATTTTATAATAAATCGCGTCAAAGAACGCGAGGGATATATTTATTTAAGAATCGCGAAGAATATCATTAATAGTAAATTTACCCATTTCGATGAGAATGCATTTGCTGCTTGGAAATTTCGGTCACGATTCGCGATGTCGATGCACCGACCTCGCACAATGTTAAGTAGATACCATTACGAT